GCTGGGGGTACTACTTGTGCTGCTGGAGGTACTCTAGCTGGAGCTGCTACTGGTGCTGGTGCTGCCATTGGGGGTGCTGGTGCTGTCCCTGCTGTGTCTGGAGTCGCCGCGCGGCCTCGGCCGTACTTCGTTCTGCTCCTTCAGCAGGTTCTTGGTCTTCCGTCTTCTACTGGACCTCCTCCTCCCTTAGAGTGTCCACAGCCTGTCCCGTCGCAGTTACAGTTACAGCCTGCCTCCCCACTGCCTGCTCCGTCTCCCTACACGGGTCCTACTAGAGGTCTTGCTGAGCGTCGTGAGCCTGCGTCTCGCCCTGCGTCGCGTGTCCGTGCTGCTCGCACTAGTGGTCGCGGTTCGCGTCAGCGTCCTCCTCCTGTCCCTGGCACGCACCGGATGTCTCTGCGTCCGTCCACTGCTCCTCTGCGTGCCCCTTTGCCTTCTCCTCCTGAGTCCTCTCTTCCTGCTCTTCCCGACCCGGAGTCGGACTCTCTTCGTGCTGCCAGTCCTACTGTCACGCGTCTCCTTGCTACTATTGTCACTGACCCTTCCTTTGAGTCCACTGCTGCGTCTGCCCTAGTTGTTGAGCTCATCGACTTTGCTGCTCGCTGTCGCCTAGAATACGCCGCTAGTCTTGTCGTTGAGTCTGAGTCTGTCTGTCCTCCGTCCGTCGGGGGTGAGTGTGCCCTTGGCACGGACGTCCTTGAGGACAGGCACGAGGAGTTCCAGTGCTTGGCCGCTGCTTCACCTCATCTCGTGTCCGTACTGCTTACCCCTGAGGGAGACCCGGATGCACTTGACATCCCGACTCCGCGCTCTTACGCGGAGGCGATAGAGGGTCCCTACTCCTCTCTGTGGCAAGCAGCTATGGATGGAGAGATGGCTTCCTGGAAGTCCACAGGCACCTACGTTGACGCTGTTCCCCCTCCTGGGGCGAACATCGTCAATGGCATGTGGATTTTGAGGGTGAAGCGACCGCCGGGTTCTCCGCCTGTCTTCAAGGCGCGTTACGTGGCTCGTGGCTTCAGTCAGCGGCAGGGAGTTGACTACTTTCAGACCTTCTCTCCCACCCCGAAGATGACCACTCTTCGGGTACTGCTGCACATAGCTGCTCAGCGTGACTACGAGCTACACTCTCTTGACTTCAGCACTGCTTTCTTGCAGGGCAGCCTGCACGATGAGATCTGGCTGCGTCGCCCACCTGGTTTCACTGGGTCTTTTCCTCCTGGAACCCAGTGGAGCCTCCGGCGGCCAGTCTACGGTCTCCGCCAGGCACCGCGTGAGTGGCACGACACACTGAGGACTACACTTGCGGCTCTTGGCTTTGCTCCCTCTACTGCCGACCCGTCGCTGTTTCTGCGCACCGACACTTCTTTGCCGCCGTTCTACATCCTCGTGTACGTCGACGACTTGGTCTTTGCCACAGGTGACACTGCTGGACTCGCCCACGTGAAGTCCGAGCTGCAGAAGAGACACACGTGCACTGACCTGGGTGAACTGCGCAGCTACCTTGGCTTGCAGATCACCCGGGACAGAGCACGCCGCACCATTACCCTGACTCAGTCACACATGGTGCAGCAGGTCCTTCAGCGCTTCGGCTTCACGTACTCCTCGCCTCAGGCCACTCCTCTGTCTACTCGCCACTCGCTCTCAGCTCTGCCTTCGGATGAGTCCGTAGAGTCAAGTGGCCCGTACCCAGAGCTTGTTGGCTGCCTCATGTACCTGATGACCTGCACACGACCTGACCTTGCATACCCTCTTAGCATTCTTGCACGCTATGTTGCTCCTGGGAGACACAGACCAGAGCACATGGCTGCAGCGAAGAGGGTGTTGCGCTACTTGTGCAGTACGTCAGGCATGGGGCTTGTGCTTGGAGGGCAGAGTCCAGTGGTCCTCACTGGGCACGCAGACGCTTCTTGGGCTGACGACCAGGCTACGCAGCGGTCGTCACTGGGTTACACCTTCAGCCTTGGTTCCGGCTCTGTCTCGTGGCGGGCTACTCGCTCGTCTTCTGTTCTCGGCTCCAGTTGTGAGGCTGAGATCTACGCAGGAGCCATGGCTGCTCAGGAGCTTCGCTGGCTCACCTACCTGCTGACTGACCTCGGAGAGCCGCCTCGTTCTCCTCCAGTGCTGTACGTAGACAACAAGGCCATGCTGGCCTTGTGTCGGGAGCAGCGACTGGAGCACAGAATGAAGCACATTGTTCTCCGCTACTTTCTTGCTCGTGAGCTGCAGCAGCTTGGTCAGCTGCGTCTTGCGTACATGGCCTCTGAGGCCAACACTGCTGATATCTTCACCAAGGCGCTTGCGGCTTGTGACCATCAGTGCTTCTGTACTCAGCTAGGCCTTGTGCCTACCTTTCCTCACTTGCTCACCTCTTGACCTTGCTTGTACTGTTACATATATATATACCTGCTCTTGCTTGTCTAGCCTTCTCTATATATATGTGTACTCCTGCATGTGAACTGGCCTTGTGGCCTTGAACTTGTGCTCGGAATGTGTGGTGACTTTGTGATCCACCCTGAGCTTGCTTTGCTTTGCTTTGCTTGACTGGTCTTGTGACCCCTTGTTCTCCCCCACTTTGCCTATGGGGGTGTGTCAGAACATTATAGCTCATGCATATTGTGTAGGCTATAGTGGGGTAGCCCATAAGGGGTACAACCCAATTAGGGTTAGTACTTGTACCCAATTCATTCATAGTTCATTCATTCTCGTTTCTTCTCACTCCAGTCGCCCGTGAGACCGTTGCGCCAGTCGCGCGTGAGCCTGTTGCGCCAGTCGCCCGTGAGCCCGTTGCTTTTGTCGCCCATGAGTCCGTTGCTCCTGCCGCTCAGAGTTAGCCGCGGAGCCAGTTACTCCAGTAGCCCGTGTGCCAGTTGCTTCAGTTGCCAGTGTGCCAGTTGCTCCAGTTGCCCGTGTGCCAGTTGCTCCAGTTGCGCCGTGTGCCAACAGCTTCAGCTGCCGCCCACTACCTCCTCTCCTCTCATAGTCCCTCCTCCTCCACACTTGCCCTCTGCGATAGCCTCTAGCTTTGCTTACATTTGTGAACTTTAAACTGTTGCTTCTTGTACTTGTGCTTAGAATGTGTGGTGACATTGTGATCCACCCTGAGCTTGTTCTGCTTTGCTTGTTGTGCTGATTACACCCCACTTTGACTATGGGGGTGTGTCAGAATATTATGTTTCTCTAGTCTGCAGTGGGGTACTCTATAGTGAGTACAGCCCTTTTAGGGTTTGCTATATGTATCCTAATGTTTGCTAGTGAATCCCCTCTCCTCTTCTCTCATTCACATTCCTCGTTATTTTCTCACAGAAATCTGAAATATTTCTGAAGTTATGAAGTTCGGCGAACTAGAGGGTAAGCTGCCATAGAAACATAACTCAATCACAATTATCTTAGAAGTACCATATAAAAAGTTAGAGTAGCAATCAACCAGGTGGGAGGAAAGAGGAGGACGAGAGGGAAGGTCCCAAGGGATCCCCTGTGAAAATAAGAACGAGGAATGAATGAACTAACAAGCAGGTGGGTACAAGTATGAAAACCTAAAAGAGTTGTACCCCATATTGTATACCCCACTGCAACCTACAACATAGTTCTGACACACCTCCATAGGCAAAGTGGGGGACAAGCAAGAGAACAAGGCAAGGTCAAGCTCAAGGTGGATCACAACGTCACCACACATTCTGAGTACCAGTTCAAGGCCACAAGGCCAGTTCACATGCAGGATTATAAAACAAGGTGAACAAGCAAGACATTGATCTCAATTTAGAAAGGGTAAGCATGCAGGTGCAGGTATATATAGATCACAGTACAAACAAAGTCAAGAGGTAAGCAAGTGAGGCCCGGTAGGCACAAGACCTAGCATAGTACAGAAACGCTGATGATCACATGGCTGAAGTGCCTTGGTAAAGATATCAGCAGTGTTGGCCCGAGAGGCCACGTAAGCAAGACAAAGCTGACCACGTTGCTGCAACTCTCGAGCAAGGAAGTAGCGGAGAGCAATGTGCTTCGTTCTGTGCTCTAGTCTGTGCTCCTGACACAAGGCCAGCATAGCCTTGTTGTCGACGTACAGAACTGGAGGAGAACGAGGCGCCTCTCCCAAGTCGGTCAGCAGGTAGGTGAGCCAGCGTAACTCCTGTGCAGCCATGGCCCCAGCGTAGATCTCAGCCTCACAACTGGAGCCGAGAACATAAGACGAGTGGGTAGACCGCCACGAAACAGAGCCGGAACCAAGGCTGAAGGTGTAACCCTGTGACGACCGCTGCGTAGCCAAGTCGTCAACCCAAGAAGCGTCTGCGTGACCAGTGAGGACAACCCGAGCCCGTCCTCCAAGCACGAGCCCCATGCCCGACGTACTGCACAGGTAGTACAAACACCCTCTTAGCTGCAGCCATGTGCTCTGGTCAGTGTCTCCCAGGAGCAACATAGCGTGCCAAGATGCTAAGAGGGTATGCCAGGTCAGGTCGAGAGCAGGTCATCAGGTACATGAGGCAGCCAACAAGCTCTGGGTACGGGCCACTCGACTCTACGGACTCATCCGAAGGCAGAGCTGAGAGCGAGTGGCGAGTAGGCAGAGGAGTGGCCTGAGGCGAGGAGTACGTGAAGCCGAAGCGCTGAAGGACCTGCTGCACCATGTGGGACTGAGTCAGGGTAATGGTGCGGCGTGCTCTGTCCCGGGTGATCTGCAAGCCAAGGTAGCTGCGCAGTTCACCCAGGTCTGTGCACGTGTGTCTCTTCTGCAGCTCAGACTTCACGTGGGCGAGTCCAGCAGTGGCAAAGACCAAGTCATCGACGTACACGAGGATGTAGAACGGCGGCAGCGAAGTGTCGGTGCGCAGAAACAGCGACGGGTCAGCAGTAGAAGAAGCAAACCCAAGAGCCACAAGCGTAGTCCTCAGTGTGTTGTGCCACTCACGGGGCGCCTGGCGGAGACCGTAGACTGGCCGCCGGAGGCTCCACTGGGTACCAGGAGGAAACGACCCAGTGAAGCCAGGTGGGCGACGCAGCTAGATCTCCTCGTGCAGGCTGCCCTGTAGGAAAGCGGTGCTGAAGTCAAGAGAGTGAAGCTCGTAGTCACGCTGAGGAGCGACGTGCAGCAGAACCCGAAGAGTGGTCATCTTCGGGGTCGGGGAGAAGGTCTGGAAGAAGTCAACTCCCTCTCGCTGACTGAACCCTCGAGCATTGTAACGCGCCTTGAAGACAGGCGGAGAACCCGGCGGCCGCTTCACCCTGAAAATCCACATGCCACTGACAATGTTCGCCCCAGGAGGGGGAACCTCATCGACGTAAGTGCCTGTGGACTTCCATGATGCCATCTCTGCATCCATGGCTGATTGCCACTGAGAGGAGTAGGGACCCTCTATCGCCTCTGCGTAAGAGCGCGGGGTCGGGATGTCTGGTGCATCCGGGTCTCCCTCAGGTGCAATCTGCATGGACACGAGATGGGGTACAGCAGCTACAAAGCACTCAAACTCCTCCTGCCTGTCCTCAAGGACGTCCGTGCCAAGAGCACACTCACCCCCGACGGACGGAGGATAGATAGATGCAGACTCAGCAACAAGACTAGCGGCGTAGTCGAGACGACAGCGAGCAGCAAAGTCGACAAGCTCAGCAACTAAGGCAGACGCAACAGTGGACTCAAAGGAAGGGTCAGTGACAACAGCGGCCAGGAGACGCGTGACAGTAGGACTAGCAGCACGAAGGGAGTCAGAGTCTGGGTCAGAAAGGTCAAGAAGAGAGGACGCAGGAGGAGACGACAGAGGGACACGCTGTGGAGCAGTGGAAGGGCGCAGAGCCATTCGGTGCGTGCAAGGGACAGGAGGAGGACGCTGACGCGAACCACGACGACTAGTGCTAGCAGCACGAACAGGCGACGCAGGACGAGACGCAGGCTCACGACGCTCAGCAGGACCTCCGGTCGGACCAGTGTAAGGAGAAGGAGCAGGCAGTGGGGAGGCGGGCTGTAACTGTGACTGCGACTGGACAGGCGGTGGACACCCTAAGGAAGGAGCAGGACCAGTAGAAGGCGGAAAACTAAGATCCTGCTGAAGGAGTGGAACGTAGTACGGCCGCGGCCGCGTTGCGCCTCCAGAACCAGCAGGGACAGAACCAGCACCCCCAGTGGCAGCTCCAACTCCAGCAGTACCACCAGCTCCAGCAGCACCTCCAGCAGCACCAGAAGCGCCAACTCCAGCACCCATAGGAGCACCGGCTCCAGCAGCACCTCCAGCTCCAGCACCCCCAACAGCTCCATCTCCAGCAGGACCACCAGAAGCTCCAGCAGCGCCAGCAGCTCCAGCTCCAGTACCTCCAGCCGCTCCTGCCCCAGCAGCACCGCCAGCTTTAGCACTTCCAGCAGCTCCATTTCCAGGAGCACAACGAGGCCCATCAGCTCCAGTGCCTCAAGTACGAGCACCTCCGGGACCCGTGGCCCCACAACCCCCTGCAGCTCCAGCAGCATCAGGACCTCGAGTAGCAGCACGGCCTCCAGCGCCCGGAGAACCACCAGCTCCAGCAGCACGGCTCTAGCGCCGAGCAAACCACTCGCGCAGCTGCTGTGGAGAGAGTGGCTCCCGCCGGGACGAAGCACCCGAAGGACCTCCAGGCTCAGCACTGCCATACTCAACACGAGCAGGCCCAGCACCCTCACGCTCCGCACCCCCAGACTCAGCAACCCCATGCTCAGCACCCCCAGACTCAGCACCCCCAGACTCAACACCCCTAGGCTCCGCACGCTCAGGCTCAGCACCCCCAGACCCAGCACCCGCAGGCTCAGTACCCCTAGCAGCACCAGAGTCAACAGCTACCTCGACAGGCTCGACTGCGTCTACCTGGGACACACCTCAGGGGGCAGGACCCTGAGGGGGAAGGGGGTCTACCGGGGGAGGACCTGGTGCGAGGAAGAGCGGAGGGGGGGGGGAGGGGGGCAGTGCGGTAGGGGAAGAGACGGTAGTACGGAACCGACTCGTCAAACGTGACGTCCTAAGAGGACAGAACACGGCGCGAGGTGGGGTGGTAAAACTGCCAACCAGGCGCGTCAGGGGGGAAGCCAAGGAAGACGCAGGGAACAGCACGAGAGGACAGCTTGTCCGCAGACAAGTCGTGGACGAAAGCTTGAGATCCCCTGACACGGAACGCAGACGCATCGCCCACCTTCCCCGTCCACCACAAAGTAGGTGTGGTCTACGGCATGGAGACCCGGGGCTGGAGGTTGAGCTGATGCGCCGCGTACTGGACCGCGAACGGCCACAGAAAATGGGGAGTAGCCGCATGGATCATGGACGTACGAGCGACATCCATAACTATGCCAATGCGGCGCTCAGCAATCCCATTTTGCTGCGGAGAGGCCGGAAGCGTGAACATCTGGCGGATGCCCTCCGCACGACAGAATGCTCGCAGAAGGTCGGAGGAAAACTCTCCACCTCTGTCGGAGTGCAGACGCAGAACAGGAAGGTCCGAGCCGAAACTTTCGCTGAGCTGACGACGGGCAGCGCAGATCTAGTCGATCAGCACCTCATTGACCTCACCCTGGTGGCGCAAGGGGAAGACTGTGGTGTAACGCGAGTATTCGTCAACGACCAGCAGAAAGTAGCGCTCGTGACCCTGGCCATGGACGCGGGCTGGGCCCCACACGTCCATGTGAAGCGTCTGCAGCGGAGCCTCCGTCGGAGGGAACTCGGAGGAGTGAGGAGCGGCGCACTGCCGCCCCTCGACGCAAGGAATGCAGGTAGGGGCAGGCCCCGGGGAAAGGGGAGGGAGAGACCGGGGAAGACCAGTAACAAGGACACGGGAGGCCATGCCTCGGAGACGAGGCAGGGAGGGGTGACCAAGGCGGTGGTGCCAGAGGAGAGTCTGGTGAGACAGGAGGTGACACGAGCAGGAGGCTGACTCAAGGCCTGACCGGAATGCTGCAGCAATTACGTGACCCGACGCAACTACCTGACCAGACTCAGCAACCGGAGGAGACACGGTAGTCATAGTGTACAGACTCGACTCAGGCTCACGGGAGAACGTGGCCAGGTGCCGGCCCGTCCGAGTACACGAACAGTGGGTCACCCACTGACCTCTAGGAGTGAAATGGTCAACCCACACATCCTGAAGATCAGCTCCACTCACCAAGTTCGTGGAGAACGAGGGGAGGTGGAGGCCAGACAGAGAGCCAGACGGGACCGCTGGACACGGCAGAACCATGGAGGAGTGTGCAAGGACCGGACCCCCAGAGGGGTCAGCAAGAGAGACTGCCACAAGCTGATTGAGCGGCGAGAGTGTGGTGCAATCACGAAAGGAGCGGGAAGCACCCGAGTCAAGGGTGAAAGTGTGCAAGGTCGCAGCAGGCGCAGTACCAGAGAGAGCAGACGCACCAGCACCTGGAGCAGTGGACTCACTAGCGCGTAGAGCAGCAGCCTCACCGGCACCAGGAGCAGGAGACGCACCAGCACCTAGAGTAGCAGACTCTATACGTGGGTCAGGCGGCACACACAGGTAACAGGCACCCTCAGCACTAGTAGGCAATGCATACTTGGCAGTGAGGATAGCATTATAGTCAAGAGCAAAGATATCTACCCTCTGCCTTAGTAGCTCCAGCCAGGAGGGGAGCTCAGCGTCGTCGCCAAACTTTGTACGCTAGGCGTCACTCAGACTGGCAAAGCAACGGGACTGTGTGTGACCAACCGTCCTGCAAGGCTGACCAGCCCGAGCACCAGTGCGAATGACGTACGGGCAGCGAGCAGTACCCTGTGACCCTCTACTCTGAGCGTACCCCCACGAAGCTGCTGGGGCAAAAGGACCGCGCGCGGACGCTGCTGCAGCTGCACCTGGTCACTACAAGAAGCTCCCGAACGACCCGCCTCAGGGCGACTCCCACCACGGCCACCCCTACAACCCCAACTAGCGTACCACTCACGAAGCTGCTGGGGCGTGAGGGACTCACGCGGACGTCGCTGGAGCTGCATCTGGCCACTGCCAGGAGCAGCAGTAGCAGTAGTAGCCGCAGCAGCAGTAGTAACAGCAGTAGCAGCAGTAGCAGCAGTAACAGTAGTAGCAGCAGTAGCAGCAGTAACAGCAAGTAGCAGAAGTAGCAGCAGTAGCAGCGCGGCCACCCCTACAACCCCAACTAGCGTACCACTCACGAAGCTGCTGGGGCGTGAGGGACTCACGCGGACGTCGCTGGAGCTCCATCTGGCCACCGCTAGGAGCAGCAGTAGCAGTAGTAGCATTAGCAGCAGCAGTAGCAGCAGAAACAGCAGTAGCAGCACGGGCAGGGCAGTGTGGCTCAGTAGAGCAGGGCTGCACAGCCCGGCAGCACGACACGGCTCGGCTGGGAAGCTCGGCGCCGCAAGGCGGCTCGGCTCGGCTGGCAGGCAGGTGCAGCAGGCAGGCAGGCAGGCCAGCGCGGCAGCGCGCTAGTAATGCAGGCGCGCGGGAAGTGCGGGTAGGGCAAGTGCTCACTAGTGGCGGGAAGGGCAGTTGCTCACCGGGCGAGCAGGGTAGGCGCACGACGGCGGCGACGGCGGGGCCGGGCAGCTGCAGGGCGGGGCCGCGACAGTGGCAGGGGGCTCCGCGGCAGCTACTGCAGGGCGGAGCCGCGACTGCTGCAGGCGGCTCCGCGGCAGCTACAGCAGGGCCGGGCCGCGACGGCGGCAGGGGGCTCCGCAACAGCTGCTGTAGGGCGGGGCCATGACTGCTGCAGGCGGCTCCGCGGCAGCTGCTGTAGGGCGGGGCCGCGACGGCGGCAGGGGGCTCTGCAGCAGCTGCTGCAGGGCAGGGCTCCGAGGCAGCTGCTGCAGGGGGCGCCGCGACGAGCAGGGGCGACGCCCCGGGGGCGCCGCGACGAGCAGGGACGGCGCCCAGGGGGCGCCGCGACGAGCAGGGGCGACGCCCCGTGGGCGCCGCGATGAGCAAGAACGGCGCCAAGGGGGCGTCGCGACGAGCAGGGACGGCGCCCAGGGGGCGTCACGACAAGCAGGGGCGACGCCCCGGGGGCGTCGCGACGAGCAGGGACGGCGCCCAGGGGGCATCGCGACGAGCAGGGATGGCGCCCAGGGGGCGCCGCGACGAGTAGGGGCGACACCTCGGGGGCGCCGCGACGAGCAGGGGGGGGACGCCGCGCGGGTCCCGCAGGGGCGTCGCGACGAGCAGGGTTTAGGGCGGCGCGCGGGCTGTAGAGGCAGCTCCCACGGGCTGCAGAGGCAGGCACGGCTGCAGGGGCAACGCCCACGGGCTGCAGGGGCAGGCACGGCTGCAGAGGCAGCGCCCACGGGCTGCAAGGGCAGGCACGGCTGCAGAGGCAGTGCCCACGGGTTGCAGGGGCAGGCACGGGTGCAGGGGCAGGCACGGCTGCTCGGGAGAGCGGCGCGCGGGCTACAGAGGCAGCTCCCACGGGCTGCAGAGGCAGGAACGACTGCAGGGGCAGGCACGGCTGCAGGGGCAGGCACGGCTGCAGGGGCAGCACGGTCGCACGGGCAACACGCGGGCTGCAAGGGCAGCGCGGCTGCAGGGGCAGCTAAAAAAAAACAAATCAGTTAGGGCAAGGCGGAACGTTCGGTGGGCCCTAGGAACGATTCTGCTCTATTACCATGTGAAAATAAGAACGAGGAATGAATGAGCTAGCAAGCAGGTGGGTACAAGTATGAAAACCTAAAAGATTTGTACCCCATATTGTCTACCCCACTACAGCCTACAATATAGTTCTGACATCCCCAACCAAGGAAACCCCATACCACACGATTCCCCTCCCTATAGGCACCCCAACTTTGACCTTTGTCACTTTCCCAAGCCATGCCATCCACCTCACCCAACTTGGCCACACTTGCCAACCTGGTTTGGCTTCTCCTAACCACTTGGCAACATCTACAGTGATGATGACGAATCTCCCAACCCCCAAAAGTCTGTACCCCATATACAGTCACACCACAAGTTCCCAAAGTTACTTTATCACAATCAAAACTTCAAACGATCATAATATTCCGTAATTGCTCCGATTACGGCGATCCTTGGTTCGTCGAAAAGCTCTTGAGCAGACCACACACTCAGGAAATCTAAACCACACCAAACAAAAATTCTTCCACACGCTCACACCACGCATGCAACGCACAAACATATGATGGGAGGTAGACGAACGTGAATGCGAATGATAGCATCACTCAACACTCGCAACCCTCCCACGCCCTTGCTGGCTGGGTAATAGGTTTATTCAAGTGCAGCCAAGTGACCCGGCGGAAGAAAAATGCTCGGAACGAGTGCTTCCACCCCCAAAACGTGGAAGGATCCGCACATGTGCATGAAGTGCAGCGGCGCTCTTCATTCGCGAGCACCGATGACCGATGATGCTCGCAACCCTCCCACGCCCTTGCTGGCTGGGTAATAGGACCAGACAAGGACAGCTACGTGACCTACCGGAAGAAAAATGCTCGGAACGAGCGCTTCCACCCCCAAAACGCGGAAGGATTCGCACATGTGCATGAAGTGCAGCGGGCGCTCTTCATTCGCGAGCGCCGATGACCGATGATGCTCGCAGCCCTCCCACGCCCTTGCTGGCTGGATAATAGGTCCACAATAGTGCAGCCGCGTGACCCGGCGGAAGAAAAACGCTCGGAACGAGCGCTTCCACCCCCAAAACGT